TTCAACCAAATGGCACTGCCTGCACACACAAGCTCTGGATTACAATACCAGCAAGTGCAGATTTCAGGAAGCAGCCAAGCACTGAACAGCCTGGATCTAAGTAGATGCCAGGGTCTGAAAATAAGGCCCTATGCTTTTTAAACTGCAGACACCTTCTTACAATCTATAGCCAATGGTTATACCTCAACAAAGGACTCTCCCTCTCCCCAGTTTACTAAATCCTGTGACACTGCAGGGGCAACAGTCAAATTTAGATATTTGTGCAAGAAAGAAAAATAGTATTTTGAAACTGTACAACATCGTGATACTGCAAAGGACTCAAATTTCAGGAAACTTTAATCCAAGCAGTCCCTTTGCAGAAGAACAGTTAAATGCCCTCCCTACCTGAGGGCAGAGACCAGCTAGGCAAACTTCACAAGAACCTGCCCTGCTCAGGAAGCATGCTGCCTTGACTCAGCCTCTAAACCCAAATCAATGGGGAGATGGCAAGCAAAAATGTCTAACACTACCACTGATCTGCCAGGAGCAGAGCAGCAGAGTCCCTCAGTGACATCAGTTCTTTCTTGATGGTTTATTTCAAGCTACACCTCACCACACCTGATCTACCACAGCAGCATTTGGTGGAGCTCTTGCTTATCAGTGTCTGATGCAAACAAGCTGCCAGCCAGCGAGGAGATCTGGTCTGGTGGGAACAGCAAGCCAGGACTCCAAATGAAGGCTCACACATCCTTCTTCCATCCCAGAAACCAAGCAGTTTTGGCCATCCCATTTGGCCCCTCTAATGTTGCTTGAACCCCATTCACACGTTACAGTTAATAACACTAACGTCATATCACCCTGAGTGTTCTCCCTGAGGGCTACGAGCTCCTCAGGGTACAAACCCTCTCCCCCTTTATTCTGCAGCAGACTCTGACCTTGGTAGGACCCCACAGCCATTGCTGTAACACAAACCATCATTCAATCTTAAAACAGATACTGGTGCCAGAAGTCTCTCAAGCGGAGACCAGCAGCATTACAATGGGGCTGCGCAGAGGGGTTAAGAAGCACTGCTGAAAAGGGATGCAAACAAGGACTTCAGGCTCTGAGCAAGCACGCTTTGCCATACATGCAGCTCAAAAGGTTAGCATCACTTGTGAGCAAGAACTGTCTGGCTGAACGTACTGCCTTTGTTAACTGAGAACAGCTACATGATGGAGTGGGCTAATTAACTGCATTTTACTTTTGGGGACCCAGGTTTAAATCCTGGCTCTTGTCACAGCTGAAAATGAATTTAGGGACTACAATGAGAGCCGAGATCATTTATTTTCCACAAAATCATCAAATAATTGCCAGTCTCCTGACAGAGAGGCCCAGAACTCTATGCAAGGACACTGGCGCTTATGCTGTTATTTCCCCAAGTAGAAAAGTTATTAATGGATTGATGTGAGCGGTCATCACAGCTATTGGTGCTACTTAGCTAGAACGAGCACCCAAATGAAGAACCTCACCATGCAACATGGTGTATGCTTCATGATGCAGTGTTGTACAGATTGCATATCCTACAGGGAGGGAAGACGTGCCTGGCAGGACTTAAATTTTCATACAGATTCATATATCCCTTGAATTTAGAGGGGCATAATGCAGCCCTGGTGTAACTCTAGTCGCTTCACTGAAAAACCACCAGGGTTAGTTGTGGTCCAGGGGCGCCGAGGGTAATTTCCCCACTTCCTCACAGCGGAAGGCCACTGAGCAGAGCCAGCAGGGAAGTGAGTACTTTCCCCATAAAGTAATTCTCTATTTTTATCTTGCTAAGCAAGTTTTTCATTTAGAAACCAGAACTCCTGCTTCAGGGAGAAGCCAAGCACCCTTTTCCTTTCAGATTTTTACCACAGAAGTTTTCATCTAAACAAATAAGCCATTTTTCCATTGAAAGGAATCATCGTGGAAAAACCAGAACCAGATTATCTCCAAGCAAGAAGTACAGACAAATTGCATTCCCAACTCTGGCGGCAGCATGTTCCTTCATACTACTGTTTGCAGTGTCACCTCACCTCTCTGTCACCCATCTCCCAGGTCACCCATGCCCAGTGATGGGGATCCTCGGTGTCAAAGCACTTCTGAGAGCAACATGCTCAACGTGTAAGTTAAGCAGCAGCTGGTGATTGTGAACCACAGTTTTGGACACAATATGCTGCTCTACTAAAGCACTGGGGTTATTGCTTCTGAAGTGCCATCATTCTCCTCTTTCCTCCTCTCAGAAAAGAGAGAGTCTCCAGCATCCTCAGCTGCCAGCACAACTGAAGATGGGCAGGAAGACGCAACAGAGGTCAAAAAGAGCACAGAAACATTTTCTGAAGCAGCCTCTGGCACATAATGCTCAACAACACAGCATGGCTCAGCAGTACAGCACCTTTCATCTGCACCAAGCAGGAGACCCGGACACTTAACCCTGTACCACAACAAAGCGAGGGGTGGGTGTTGTCTTCATGGCAGGGTTTTACAGCAAGCCAAAGGTTTGTGTGGAAGGCTTCTCTTGAACAGCAGAAAAGGAAAGCTTAAGTCAGACTTCTATCCAAAAAGTCAGACTCGGGGGAAAGGGATCCGTCAGAAGACATCCATGAACTGGGGAAGAAGGGAGAAGCAGCCACAGTGTTCTGGGGGCTGACGGAGAACCTGGGGACAAGGAGGTCCCTGCTCCCAGGCAGGGTGAGATTCCCAAGGCCAAATCAAATTCTGCAAGTAAGGGCCATGCGTCTCCCCCCACCGTTATCTTTAAATCCTCTTTACTTTGCGAAGCTATTCTCCACCCTCCTTCCCTTTTAATCACGCCTGACCTACAGATGTCAGCCTCATTTCGGCTAAGTCAACACAACTGTCACATCTAGGATGCTGTTACAGGAAAAACCTTACTTACACTCTTGGCAGGATTCCAGAGCCTACTTCTTGGTCTAGACCTGACCTCGTTCCTCTTCTGCAAGCTTAATCCTTTACCTTAAGGGCACAGCGAACGCACAGGGACTCCAATGTGGGCCTGTCTACACTCAGTCTCCCCTCCAGCCTGCAGAGCCAGGAGACTCTTTTGATCACACTGCATAAACACTAACGATTATTGACAGGAGGCTCCCTCAGAACTGCACATTCTTCAAAAACACACATATGTTCAAGAGCCAAAAAGCAAATGCAAAACACACGCTTTATGTTCTGTGAGGTAAACCCCTACCCTAGAGCTCACCCAACATGACACGAACCTTCAATCAACAGACCCCGAAGTATCCTCAGATGCAGCCCTGGCATTGCACTGAAACATAGCCACATCTGATACATCCAGCTTCATCTAAAGGTTAGAATAGTATGGTATGGTATGGGTTGGAAGGGACCTTAAAGATCATCTAGTTCCAACCCCCCTGCCATGGGCAGGGACATCTTCCACTAGGCCAGGTTGCTCAAAGCCCTGTCCATCCTGGCCTTGGGCACTTATTCATCCGTTAGCATAAACACACAAGACATCATTGCAGGACACCAACTGAACACGAAGGACTTCAACCAGCTACCACGTCACCTTCCAACAGTACTTTACTAGGTACAACCCAGCGACTTGCTGCAATGGTACGGTCAAAGTAAGAACTAGCTCATGGTATGTCACACCTGGCCCGTTCCTTGCGGTCCCCCACCCCTCACGGCCAACATGTGGGAGTCACAGGTTGGAGGTGGATGGAGAACAGCTTGTCCTATCTTGCCCAAACACATCGTATAAACAGGGTACCAAGAATGAGTGGGATCTGGCTCATGCACTCCACCTCGGGACCCAAAAGCCTCAGCCTCGGTCACATATCAATAGCAGCAGTGGAAATATCAACCGTGAATGAGGTATTAGCAACTAATCTGCTATCAGATTATTCCAATAAGGCAGATAGCTGTGGATTCAACCTTCGGGCAACAACACAGGTGTTTCTTGGCTCTCAGAGACATTTGCACAGTGTTTTCTTTAAATGTGTGGAATGTTCAGAACCCCAATTATCTGTATCTGACACGACGCTGAACCAGCACCCTCCTGGTTCACAGGAGCTGTAAAAACAAAACTCCACCGAGGCTAGGAGGAGCCTTTGGATCAAATTATCTGAGCTCTGAAACAGTCCTTGAATGCGTGCTGCAAGAAATCCTCCGTACAGATACACCTTTCATATCACAGGAGGAGGAGGGGAGGGAGGGGAAAAGAGATTAAAAACAAGACAAAAGCCAGATCCTCAGGTAACAGAAAAATCAGAGATGCTCCCTCAGTTTACACTATCACGGATTTGAGCCAAAGGTGATTTAAAGTCCTTTTATGGAATATCTTAATCTGCCTTTCTATCTGCTATGTGTGTAAAATAGGCAGTGCTTTTCAGAGAAATTATTTATTCAGTTTTACAGTGACTAACCTGAATTTCCAGACTGCTTCAAAAGAAAAACTGAAGCGTTTCTTTACAAAAGGCAAGGAGCATTAGGCTTCTTACCCCCTCCTTGTTTTCCTCTTTCTTTTTTCCTCCATCCATCAGCCGAAATATCTCTACTTCTCATCTAATAAACAATGTACCTTTCCACCAAAAAAAAAAATGTTCTTTCCTTCACCTCCACGACAAAAATGTGCTGACAATTTCTTCAAGTTTTTTTTGCTGAAGCCACCCAAAGTGGAATAAGTTCCTTTTTTAAAAACTGATTTTTCAGTTTAGCCATCTACTTGGAAAAAAAAAAAACCAAACAGCTAGCCTTACATCACTGGCTGCAGTCTTACAACAAACATGAAGCTGAAAGCGTGGGATTACCAAAGGTTTGGTGTTAGTGGGGCACCCTAGATTAAACATCCAGTCAAAAGCAAATTACAGGGCCAGTGAAAGTGGCCACACTGTTGCATGAACCGCCTCAATGTTACTTCCCAGATTAAAGAACAGAAAGTAGCAGCACAAAACTTAATTTAAATACAACTAAGGCTCTAATCCAAATCCATGAAATGGAAGGACAGATTCAAAAAGGCATGGACTCACCAGGATGTGCTTCTGGCACCCAGGGGAGGTGTCCTGGGGACAGGGAGCTCAGGTAGCACACACGGATCTTCACCGAGGTGCCTACTACGTGCCTGCCACAGGGGAAGCAATGTCACACACAGCGGGTCTGATTTAAGGCAAGATTTAAGGCCCCTTACAACTACATTTCATCACGAGTAAGCTCTAATTCTGGGAGGTGGAGGGCGGATGTACATTTTCTTGTGTGGAGATGCCCTCCACTCAACCCAGCCTAAGACCTTCACTTACACCAGGCTGTGATTAGGGGATTCAGGTCATGAGCAAGCAGATCTTGCGCTTTAATTCTCTCTGTCTCTCTCGTTTTGGTTGCCTGAATCTCTAGGATGAGCAACATCACATTCTTGCAGAAACCTAAGATGACTTGCATGCACCAGCTTTCTCCCTCACAACAGGGAGAGGCATGAAGTCGATTGTGATAGCCGCCCACCCAGAGCCATCGGATGCTGCCGCTGTGCCACAGCACTCTGTCCCCACATTAAAGGCTCAAAACAACAATCCTAAAGCCAGTCTCACCTCTTTGTCTCCACAATCCAGCTAACAATACTGCATCGAGTGCATCAATACTGTCGCATTTGTATCTTCCCTTGGTACGCCCCCCAAGAAAGATGTACATCCAAAAATACAGCAGCCTGCACGCCCTCTCGCTTCCCCAGCTAGCAGGCTTCCTCCCAAGATCACCCTGCTGAGAACAACTTCAGCAATGTACAGGTTTAAGATCATCCTAAAAACACCCCACGCACCCAACATAAGACTGCAGCCCTAGTTCCACCCGCCTGTAGGCACCACGCAGGATGAGACCCTTGCTAAGCGATCTGGGACTGCAGTAACACGCTCCCAGCATTGCTGTTTATTTGTGGCAGCTTTCACTACCTGCAGATGCTGTTCAAAAATACAGAAGAAAAATCTGTGCTCTTGGGAGCTCATAGTCTAAAGGCAGAGGTCAGGAGAAACACCTTGCTCTTATTAATGTGGTTCTATGGAGAGGAGGGGAGGGGAAAAAAAAAGCCAAGCCTGTATGCTTCTCAGAAGCAGATTATGGCTAATAATACAAAGATTACTGACATTAAATGAATTTAAATTAATTCTTCTATCATTCAGAATATTAAGTTTTTTACCTTCCTTTCAGTACCACTCCCATTTGTAGTCAGCTTCACTTTCTGTCTATCACAAAGATGTTATATTTGGACTATAATCACCATAATGGACTTCTCCCCCTCAGCAGTTTTGTTGTACTAAGTGTCTTTAAAAAAGCATTTGTGGTGTTAATTTAACAAGCATCCTATCTTTTTTTTTTTTTTTAAGGTAATTGCTTCATAACTCTGCAAACAAGTTCTACAGTCCTAATGGCTTTTTTTGCCTATCAACAGGCATGGGGAAAGTCTCACCAGCACAGCAGCAGTGTTACTCCTGCAGAAGGAGCATAACCCAGGGCTCTGCCGGGGAGAAGGAGCCAACGGCCACATCACAGCAGCAGTGCACGTTGCAGGCAAAGGGGATGAGCAAAAAGTGTCTGTTGCTGGAGACCAACGTTCGACTTAAAATTTGGGTTGCTCCTCACAAACGTTCAGACTCTGCTCTGCATTAACCCTCCTAGGAATCAAACGTTTTTAAAGCCAGCACCAGCAAACTGAAGACAGAGCACAGTAACAGGAGACAAGCCAGCCACAGATTTACTCTCAGGAGGAAAAACTCCTTTTGAAACTGAAAAGTTCCAGTTCAGCTTATGATCCCTCTCCCCAAACATCCTATTGACAAACAAGTATCTAAGGATGATTAAAAGAAAGCCATCAGTCAAACAGATCACCAGCCACATGTTTGCTGCTGAACATCATGAATGTTCCCACTAAAAGCTTCTCACACGTCTATGTCTGCATTTTACTGAACGAAGGGGAACTCCATAGGAAACAAACTGCTCATTTCTGCCTGTCAGCCCCAAATCTGGAGCGCTTGGCTGCCTTCCCTTGTTTGCTCTCCTGGTCCCCACATTGGGAAGGAAAGTCAACACATCCCCAAGCCTACAGAGCAATCATCAGTGGGTAGCTATTTGAAATGTAGTTTGTAGTGAATTACTGTAGCACGAGATCAGTTCATCTCAACTGTCGAATCCTTTTGTTTCAGAGAGGGAGTTACTGTTGGAAAAAGGCACCTGCCTTAGCTCACGGCCTTATGCAATGGCTGTATTAAGCATTACTCTTATGAATCAGTACATAACAATAATAGCTAGCATTTTATTGAATTAAAAAAAAAAAAAACAAGCACCTTGCAAATGGCCATCAGTGACCAGCTGAGCCCCACCTGTGCAGAAGCTCTCCCGCAGGCCTGGGCATCCTCCAGCTCCAATTTCACCACCACTTCCAGCCAACCCAAGTACAGACTGCATCAGCCAGGGCAGCTCTGCCCAAGCACGGGGCCCAGGCCTCACTCCTGCCCTCAGCCAGGACAAGCATTCATGCGATCAAGCACAAGGCAGAAGAATGAAGACAGAAGCAGAGAGGAAAGAAAGCTCACCTTTCAGTGACAAAACCCATCCGGAAGGGCACGAAACGGCAGGCTCAGCTCCTCATAGCACCTGTGGAAGCCAAGGGCACTCAGCACATCCCGGGAGCTTGAGCAGCCAATGGCTCTGCCTCAGCAATGCCCCCCTCTCAAGAGGCTTCCACAATTCTCCCAAATACACATGTTCCCCACAAGTTTGTTCCTCTCCTTGTGTGAGCTGAAAGTCATATACATTAGAAAAACATGGGAGGAACTGAGTGCAGACCTTACAATAGGCATGAATCCTGCAGCACTGTGCAACCAAATGCTCTTCCCATCCAGAAGCCACGAGGCACTACATCTCCCAGAACGGCTGAGCAAGTGGAGGTGCTCCAAGACCTGGGGGAGAAACTGTTTCTCACGTAAGCCGGCATGCAAAATGGTGTCATCTCCCAACTAAGGGCATCTAGGACATACTCTACAGCTGGGCTGAATTTACAAATCCTGGTATCTCTAGAGGAACAAGATGGTGGCACTGTACAGAAAATAAATAAATCTGTTGTCTCTACTTCCCTGTACCTTATGAATGGATTTCAAGGTCTTGTCAGAAGGATAACCTTCCACCTGACATAGGACACAGATGAATTCACCTTTCAGCAGCAACATCCTCATTCCAATCTTTGTATCTGAGCATCAGCTACTGAATGCATCATAGTAGAACACAGTCACCAGAGCTGGAAAGTCCCCAACCCAGCAGGTCTTTCCCTTCAGCAAGGCTGACATAACCTCATGCAGAATCCACCCCGCATGCCCTACTCATCTCCTCAGTCTCAGAAGAAACGTGAATCACAGCTATTCAACCGACTGCCCTGGAGGCCCTGGAAATCAAAGTGAAGGCGGTCAGTCCTGGGCAAGAGCCACCCACACCAGCTGCCCTGGGCATACTGGTCCAAAGGGGTGAGCAGAGCAGGCAGGGGAGGAGTGGGGACAACCTGCCTGCACTGTTGAGCAAGGTGGCTGCATTCAGCAGCAGCAGGGGAGGTGTCACCTCACTGCAGAGATGCAGGAGGGAAGGGGCTCCATGTTCCTCATGCAGGAGAGCAGCCCGCTCTGGTCGGCCTCACTTTACATGATCTGCAGCAGAGCTTCCTTAAGCACCACGTGAAAGGTTCTGCTGCATTAGCCAGACCATGCCTGGGTGCTCAGGGTACAGCCGACATCAGCTCGTTATCAAGGCTGTGCTCAACGGAGGGCACAGCGGTGGTTGCACGGAGCGTTTCACTGAGCAATTAGTCAAGCCAAATTCAAGGGTGGTAGACTTGGTCTGAGGAACAAGCCAAGGACCTAGGATGGAGGCATTTGGCTGTGGATCCAGGAGCCAAGCGCAAAGGCAGGGTGGAAGTGCCAGTGCCAAAACCTGGGCAGCCTGTCCAAGGGCACAGTCACTTGACAAGATACCTCTGAGCTCTGGCTTCCTCCATCAGATAGAACTCCAGAAGCTGGAGGCTTCAGAGAAAGGCAGACAGACCACCTGTAACCCTCCACGCTACTCTTTCTTTTTTGTACCTCAAAACCACATTTACTTAAATGTATCTGAAGATGCCCCCTGGGCCAGCATTGCTCATTACCATTTATTTTAAAACATTCAGATTGTATTTAAAGGGATCCCACTAATATCTGGTATGGCTATAGAGAGACCTATCCATCCTGATTTGCCGGCTGTGGACAGGGTGGGAGATCCTACAGCCAAGCAGCTTGAGTAAGAAGAGTGAAGAGCATTGATGAAGAATTCTGACTAGATTTTGGAGAGAGAAATCCAACGCCCTTTTGCTGCCTAGCCCACCCAGGGAAGAGCCCAATCCCCTCTTCTCCATCTGTTTTATATCTTATAGACTGTGGTAACACTTTGCATGCTGTGGACTAACCCAGCACGCTGGAGAACAACTCCCAGCAGCAGCCCAGCAGAAAGCCATGGCTCAGAGCAGGCAATGATCTGTTGCAGGAGCAGGTTTTCCTTTTAGGGGGCAGGTTTCCCCATCTACCAGCTATCATCCAGCCTTTAGGATCGCTTTAACGACCACTCCATCAGCCCACACGCACCCCTCGCGTTAATTAAGTCCCGGCATCCCAGTTAACTCCAGCAGCATCATCCACTCGTGACCAAGGAAGCAGGCTGAGGAGTCCCAGTCTCCCCATGAGCCTAACAAGGAGCCAGCCATGCCAGCCAGACCTGCTGGCTCCCTCCCTCTGTTCAGCTACAGACCTGCAAGCTATTTCAAAAGCTCTTTCCAAAACAGAAAGGGAAAAAAAAAAAAAAAAAAAAAGCTTTCTGTTTTCCTTGAAAAGCAGGCCTATGCAACCAAAGAGGTTTCACCATCCAAATTAAAAGTCAAAGGCAGCAATAGTCTCTGAAATATAAGAAACATGTTGTGCGCAGTGTGAAATTTATTGCTGCCTTGCAGAATGAAGCCAAACATCTTAATATGGAAAAACACCGCTACTTTTGACCCAAACAGATTGGGAACAGGAAGTGAAAACAAATTACCCAGCTGCAGCCTCCCAGCCTTACGAGCGGCACCAGAGAGACCAGCGTTTCCTGCCCAGGCTGCCCGGGTCTGCACGCTGTTTGCCCGGGGGCCAATCCCACCTAAA